TTTATCATAATTACAATCATCATGTGAGTTTTCTTTTATGCTGATTAATATTAAATAATTATTATGATTATTATTTTATTATTATTAAATTATTTTTATATAAATGAGATTAATAAAATTTAATGAATATTATTTATAACTTATATCCCTGAGTTTTATCTAACTATTAGTTATCAAAGTAGCCTAAGATCATAAGCCTTTGAGATGTAACTTACAATAAATATTTTATTATTTATAAAATATTTTAAATTATATTTTATATTATTGTATTAGTCTTGCAATTATTGAAATGGTATAGATTAATAATTTATAAAATTATATTAAAAATTAATATTAAATAATATTTAAAAAATAATATTTATAATAATACATATAATTATAAAATTTAGATAATCCCAAAGAAAAATCTACTTCAAATAATTATGTGATGAGTAGGATGATATTATTTTGGATATCCTTGTAATCTAGAATTGTATACCCAAATATAGTAACACTATTTCATAAGGATAGTATTAATCCTCCATAAATAATTTTATTTAAATATCAGATATGCTAATATTTTATCGAAATGTGAAATATTGATGATATTAATAGTTCATCATATTTTTAAAACTCAAAGTCTAGAGTTGTATACCAAAGATAGCAATACTATTTTACAAGAATAATTTCGAATGAATAATGGATATATCAATATTTTCGAGTGACTAATGGATATGTCAATATTTTGAGTAAATAATGGATATATCCATAAATAATTTTGAGTGAATAATGGATATGTCAATATTTCACTTAAAGGTAAAATATTGATGATATCAATAGTTTATTATATTTTAAAAACTCAAAGATATTAATGATGTTTTTATATTTTATAATGATACTTTCTTTCATACATTTTCGTGCTTCTAGTATTCCTGTATTCTTTGGTTCAATTTATTTAGAATGGTTAGAGTATATACAATTTATAACTAAATATATTAGATCTTGACCTAACATTACTTGTTAAAAAGGCCTTGACGAATGAAAGTACTACAGAACAAATTAATAAAATGAATAAATAAAAAAGATCTAATAGGCTTAGTCCAATGTTTATAAGAATGATAATTATAAATAACATAAAGACTTCACTATCATTTGTAACTAGTGCACAAGAATATTTGAGGCCATTGAAGATGTGTTTAAATCTGCTGATAAGTCATTGGTTGGTACATCAATAAAAGAATTGACTATGACTCAGTATGATGGCACTCGAGAAATTCAGAATTATATATTCAATATGACTAACAAGGTTAGAAAACTTAAAGCATTGGGCATAAATGTTGATGAATCTTTCCTTATGCAGTTTATTCTTAATTTTCTTCCTTCTTACTTTGGTCTATTCAAGATTACTATAATATAAATAAGGATAAACGAGACTTGAATGAGTTGACCAATATGTGTACTGAAAAAATTTATGGCTAAGATAGAATAGATCTCATAATGTTTTAACAATTATTCAAGGAATTGGTAACATAAAAAAAAGGTTGATGTGTCATCTACAAAATAAATTTTTTTAGGTCTAAAAATGTTAAGCAAACTAATAACAAAAAAAAGTCTTTATAATAAAGTACTTTTTATGGTAAGAAAGGATGTGTGAAAAAGAATTATGTTAAACACAAGACTCGGTTCAAAGAGAAAAATGAATAAACTTGACCTTTATATGTTTTGAATTAAATATAACAAAAGTTCATACTAATACTCAGTGGACTGATTTTGGTACTTCAACTCATGTTACCAATAATATACATAAATTTATTTTAATCTAGAAATTAAAAGAACATGAAAGATTCATCATTATGGGGAATCATCTCAAAACGAAAATGATAGCAGTGGGAACTTATCGCTTACTCCTAGAAATTAGTTATTTAATAGATCTTATAGACACATGCTATATTTTTATTATTTCTAAAAAATTAGTTTCTCTATTTCGAATGATAAGTTTGAATATTATTTTTGTTTTGGTGATGACAAGCTTAATATATTTTATGATTCAATAAAAATTAGTTTTAAAATTCTTTATGATGATTTATATATAATTAATTTGAATCTTAAGTTTGCAAAGACATTGATGACCCCGTAAAGATATTAGTCAGACATTGATATCTTTATAATCTAAAATTGATTAGTTAGGATATAATTATTATTCTGGTTATGGTAAAATCAATATATTTTATAATTTAATAAAAATAATTTTAAAATTTTATTTAATGATTTGTATATAATTAGTTTAAATCTTGAGTTTGTAAAGATATTCATAACCCTACAATCAAATATTAGATTGAACCATATTTTCAATAATGAGAAATATTCTTTCTTATAGCACATATGTTTAGGATTGAAACATTACTAAAGGATCATATTTTAGAAGATTTAGAATTTATTGATTTTAATTTTTGTATAGATTATATTAAAGGAAAGCAAACTAAGTACATAAAAAAATACCACAAAAAGTAAACAACCTTTTGAGATTATTCATACAAATATTTATGGATCACTTCATATTTCATGTTTCAGTGAAAGGAGATATTTTTATCACATTTATAGATAACATATCTAGATATGACTATGTGCATTTAGTATATAAAAAGTCTCAAGCTATTGACACTCTTGATGTATATATAAATGAAGTCAAAAAATAATTAGATAAAAAATTTAAAATTACCAGATATTATATGTGTAGTGAATTTTATAATAGATGTGATGAGTTTGGTCAGAATCCTAATCCTTTTGCTAAATTCCTAAAAAATAGATATTTATGCCCAATTTATCTTACAATGTGTGTCATAGCATATTTGTATTGCTGAAAGGTAAAATTATACTTTTATAGATATAATTAATAGCATGATTTGTTATTCCTCTAAACTTAAGTTAATTTGAGGTAAAGCTCTTAGAATAAATATATATTTTTTGAATAGGGTTCCTAATAAGTCAAATATATTAACTCTATTTAAATTATGAACTGATAAGAAATTTAGTTTGAGATATGTATATTTTTTAGATTGTCTTGTAGAGATAAGAGTTTTCATTCACATGAAAGAAAATTAGATCCAAAAATCATTTTTAGGTATCTATTGATTATCCAAAAAAAATCAAGGGATATAAATTTTATTGTTCTAATTATTAAATGATGATAATAAAATCTAGTATTACAAGATTCTCAGAAAATGACAAAATCAATTAGAGTAAAAAATATCAAAAAAATAATTTTGATATAGAAAAGATATAAGTTAATACTCTTTTATCATTTTCTATTTGAGAGATCGTTGCTTAAATTACTAAATGAATTGATGAGGGTGAATAATAAAATAATCTTAACGAACTCTCACATAATATTGATATCAATGTTAATGATTTTATAGAATAATCTCAATGGATAGTTTTGAGATGATTTTAAAGGGAAATGAGATGTACCATTTCTGATGATTATATAATATCTCTACAAAAATGAGATTATGACATAGGAATCAAAAGAGACTCATTATTACTTTTATAATCCATGAAAAGTAACGATTCTTAAAAAGTGGTATAATGTAATGAAAGAAGAGTTAAAATTAATGAATTATAATGGTGTTTGGAACTTATTGAATTATCCAATAATTATAAAAGAGTCTCTTATAAATGGGTTTTTAAGATAAAATATACTCAAAGGATAATATTGAATGATATAAAGTCAAACTTATGACTAATTTTTTTTTTTTTAAAAAAAGCACGGATTATAATAAGATTTTTTTCTTTAGTTTTTAAAAGAACTCGTTGAGTATCGTCATGACAATAGTAATTCATTATGATTTTGAGTTACATCAAATATATATGAAAGTAATATTTCTAAATAGAGATCTAGATAAAAAAAATCTATATGGAACAACTTGAATGATTCATAGAGAAAGAAAAAGAAAGTTGAGAAATCTATTTATAATCTTAAACAAGCATTCAAACAATAATATATAGAGTTAGTTAATCTTACATATCTATGCTATTGTTATGAATTGAAATGCATAGTGATAAAAAAAATATTCCTAATGGTACTGAAAGTTACACACATTTAATCTTTGATCCATGATTATTTGATTTCAGTTTGTTAGTATTAAAATTTTGTAACATAACAATATTATGATTATAATTTAATACTTAATTATACCTTATACATCTTTGATAATAATTTTTTAGTATGATAGTAAACCATATTAGTCTGTGAAAATAAACCTCAACCAACAACATCATAGTCGGTGAAAATAAACCTTTTCATATAAATGAAGACGAAAGAAGGTTTCATAAAAGGTGTTGCACTCCTCTCAGTTATTCAGCAAAATCATTTGGAAAGAGGAGATGTATTGCTGTGTATATACTATCTTCTTCCTCAATCATCCATCCTTCAGCCATGGCAACGCCTCAGAGGTAACACAGCAAACTTCATCAGCCCAACGCTGCAATGAATGCCATTGCGCTCCCCGCACGCGAAGTAGTGTGGCTTCCTCTTCTTTAGGACGAACTCGAAGCCGTCGCCGCCTCCTTGCAAGACGTTGGCCACGAGCTTCGCCTTCCTCAGGTCGCACGCAATAAAGCTGCGCAGGTTCTTCATCAGGTACACGCTGTGTGGAAACGTGGTGCTGTTCGGAGGATCGTACATGAACACTGCAATAAACCCATCCGCATATTATTGTTGTGGAGCATGATATTATCCTTAGTTGCAGCACAGCAACCAATCAACGTTAGAGATAGTAAGTAGCATCCGTATCGTAGCCACTTATCAAAGCTTAAAACCTCGTCGATATCAACGGGTAAAGATTTGACTAATGATAGTAATGAAATCAAATTCTGTCTTAAAAGAGAGAAAAAGAAAAGAAACTGACCCAAGGTATCATTTTGATAGAAAGGGGAACTTTTGTTCGCCCATTCTGTGTAGTTATACCCGAAGGTCCAATGTGCCGAGTCACCAACGATAACTCTAGCTGCTAAAGACGTAGTCGAGATGGAAGCCAGAGCAAGTAGGAGAGTTCCCAGCATCAAACTCATAGCACTAAGTCTCACGGCCATCTTTTATATCATAGGCAACGGATGATAGGGAAACACAAAGATGGACTAAGTTGGTGGTAACTAGGTGTTGAAGGGATGGCTTTATATAGAGGAGACCATCATGGGATCAATCCACCAATGGAAGATCACCAAATGCATGTTCACAACACATGGTGTTTTAGGTCATCTTCCATAAAGCTTGGACTGTGGCTAGTGGGTTGGTGCCCATCTTTGTTTGAGGGTCAACTATGGGTTTGTTGGAGTGGAGTTAACCCCCAACAATTTGACTTGGTTGGTGTCTTATGACTTTTTATTGGGAGGGTTCACATATTTTGGTGGAAGAATACTTGGTTAATGCAACAACTTAGATCACGTGACATATCAAATTTGTCGTGGACTTCTCATAAAATAATAACTCTTTTTTAATAATCTTAGTAGATGATCATATTTAAATCTTAAATATAACTGATAAAGATATAACACTTCATATTTTAAATTAAAAAATAGTTAAGATTCATTTTAGCTCATGTAGTTTTGGGTCATAGACCACTTAACCCCTTATAATTTACTCATGTCTAAAATAGCTCTTACATTTTTAGAAACGTAGTATATAAGTCCTTTCATTTAAGTCTGAGTTAATAGATGTTAGAGCATGTTTATATGACATACTGACTCATAATAAACTATTAATATAATAACAAGTGTAATTTAAGTTTTATAAAAATGGATATATTTTAGTTATTGTAGATTTGGTCATCGATCACTTAAGCCCTTATACTTTTGTTTATCTAAAATAACCCTTATATTTTAAAAAGCATAGCATATAAGCTTCTCTTGTGAAGTCTGAGTTCACAAATATTGAAGTTTGATTATGTAATATGCTGACTCATAATAAATCATTAATACCATGACATGTATAATTTAAGTTTAAAGAAAAGATCTATTTTGTTGAGGAAGATAAAACGACGGAGGCCGTAATGACGGACGAAGGCAGAGAGGTAGAGGTAGGAGAGGTGGAGGCGAAGATGAGGGAGAGCTAGATCACATCGTAAGCGTGACGGGTGGGGACACAGGAGAGGACCAAGTGGGAGGTGATAAGGATGAAGATGCCCAGGAGGAGGAAAATGGATCAGGAGACCATTGCATACCTGGTATTGGACTGGTTGACGCACATCCACCTAAGATAGGGCTGGAAGCTCCTAAGCTTATCGTCAGTGTGAGAGAGGTTTGATAAGACCCTAAAGTCTTATCGTCGCTCTGATACCAATTGATAAGACCCTATGGTCTTATCGTGGAAGAAAGGGGAGAAAAGGGAATGATAATGATCACTTCGAGGGAATCGACCTCCTTGATCGCTTCGAGAGGATCGGCCCTCCTTGATCACTTCGAGGGGATCGACCTCCTAGGGTTTGTCCACAGAGTGGAATAACATTTCATTGATTGATTGATTGATGAAAGAGTTACATCACTATTTATAGAGTTCCACCTAGGGTCCATCAGGACTTGAACTCTAATAATAAATAAATATTAAATAAATCTCTACTTGACTCTAACTGAACCAAACCGACTCAATAAATAACTGAACTAAACATACTCGATAAACATTATTCAAAAGCTTAGAAAAAGTGTCCTAACAATTCCTCTCTCTTCAAATCAGCCTTGTCCTCAAGGCTAAGCAATATCAATCTCGGGGAGCTTCTCTTTAAGCACTTCAGTCATAGGCTATCTACAACGCATCACAACCCGTTGATCAAGTAAGTATAGTCTCCACTTTTTGACAATGTAAGCAATAGGTCGGTCTTTCAGTGTAGTAATTATTGCAAGAAACTCCTGGCCTTTGCTATCACAAGTTAAAATCCATCCATCAATGATCTTTATTTCGAATATGTCATAGCCTTCAATGTGGTGGGCTAGTTGGGCTGCAACTTTCCTATCTGTAAAATTATTAATACTACCTATATCAATCAAATTAGTGACAAGCTGATGCTTCAAAGTTCCTCCAATTTTCATAGTTTGTGAGTTAGTGTAGCCAACCAATGCATGCACTGTATATGTGATGGCTTCAATATCTTCATCAGTTTTCACACCTTCATGATCGGAGTCCAACTCTTTTGCTTCCGATTCCTCTCCAATTGGCTCAATCATCAGAAGTTGCCCTTGTTTATATCGGTGCTCCATACTCCACTTTTCATCATAGTACAAACCCTTTGTTGATCTTTTCTTGAGTTTTTCTTGGGTTAGTCTTCGAGTGTCAAGGCTTTGGTTGGGAATAGATGAGGTGGGTAGCTTACTAATCATCTGGTTATTGTCACTTCTGTTTCCATGATTTTCCCTATTGATTTTTTTCTCATGTAAATGTGCGAATGAGATCGCAGCTATTATAGTGTGGGGTTGACGAGCCTTAACTTCACACCGGATCTCTGGAATAAACCCTTCAATAAATGTATCCAGAAGTTATCATTCCGACCAATCTCTAGCTTGATTTAACAATCTTTCAAACCTACTCTGATATCTAACACTGTAGAAGTCTGACAAATTTTGGTGAGCTGTCCATCCACCTTCATGTATGAGTAGATTGTCATAATCTTGGGGTCCTTTTCTAGTATTTCTATATCTGTGCAACGTAGAACTTGAGCTCCCACCTTGTTGAAATTTACCAAGGCTCCCCAATAAGTTCATTTTGAAATCATTAAGTATTTCTTGCAACTGGTTCTCAATTCTAATTTCCAATGCTTCTATCCGTGCTTTTACTGAGTTATCGGTGGCCATTTTGTAAGACTACAAATTTGGGTTCTCAACTCCTGTTTTTTATGTCGGTCAAGGGCATCAGCACTGTCAATGTGAAGTTGCTGAGGAGGTGGACGCCGAGGGCAGTGCTGCAGTCGTTGCGTTGGAGGAAGAGTTGCTGCCCTGTTTCTGTCACTGCGTGGGGTGAGAGCGCCGGGGTTGGAAGGCGACTGCGTCGATGTGGCTGCAATTGCTGCGACCCAAGGGGCGATCGCCGAGCAGCAGGGTTGAGGCTGTGGTGATGGCAACCTGTGGTGATGGTGCGGCTGGGGCAGCGCCGCCAAGGGCTCACTACTGTGGTAGCTGCGACGGCATGGATGGAAGGCAACGTTGCTTTGTCTCTGTAGCAATATGGAAGGAGGCGCTGGTGACACCGAGGGATCACGTCCGGTTGAGGAAACAGCGATGGCTGCAGCGGCCGTGGTTGCCTTGGTTTAATCACCGCGAGTAGGGATGGTCGAGCGACTGCAGCTACGACCCAAGGGAAGGCAGCGATGTTAGCACGGTTGGGGCAGCGTCACCGACGGTAGAAGCGATGAGGGGGTTGGTCCGCTGGCCGGGAAACAGTGGCCGCGGCCCTTCTCGCTCGAGCAGGGTGGAGTAGCAAGGAGGGAAGGCTGCTGGCCGGGGAGCAGTGGCGATGGTGGTCGCTGGCCGGAATGCAGCGACTGCGGTGGTGCTGGCCAAAAGTAGGGGAGGCAGGGGCCCTTTCGACCAGATGGGCTTCAAAGGGGAGAGGATGTGGTTGTGGTGGGTACTACGCAAAGAGGAGGGGAGGTTGCTGGCTGGGGAGCGGCGGTGGTCGAGCGGCCGAGAAGCAGCAGCGACGGTGGAGAAGGAGGAGTCGGCGGTGTCACGGTTGGGAACAAGGGCAACCAGTGAGTTGCCCTGTTTCTGTCACTACGGATGCAGAGCAAGGAGGATCGACGGTTGGGAGGCATGCGGCGGTCGTCGCACAGTGGCTGGCAGCGGTGGTGGCTCGACAACGAAGGAGAGGGGTGGCATTGAAGTGGCCGAGAAGCAACAACGGCGGTAGAGGCAACCGGCGCCTGCGGTAGCAGAGGGACCGATGGTTGCTCTGTTTCTATCGCACCACAGAAACAGCGACGCCGACAGATCGCGTGGTCGAAGCTACAACCAAGGGAAGGCAACGATTGATTGATTGATGAAAGGATTATATCACTATTTATAGAGTTCCACCCAGAGTTCATCAGGACTTGAACTCTAATAATAAATAAATATTAAATATATTTCTACTTCATTTTAACCAAACGAAACCGACTTAATAAACAACTAAACTAAATATACTCGATAAATATTATTCAAAAGCTTAGAAAAATGATCCTAACTTGCGTGCGTATGACTACGCCTCCTCCCATCATTGATGATGGTCTTAATTTTTTTAATTTAAATTATATATTATTATATTAATAATTTATTGTGAATCATATCATGTAAGGAGACTTTAACCTATGATATTTTTAGATTTTGACTTTCATATAGACTATGTTGTTTACCTTAACTCATTATAAAAATGTCTAACTACTTTTATAATACTAAAGTCTATGAATCCTTAAAATCAACCTAGAAAGTGATTAACACTATTCACTCCTCAATTCTGACGCTAAGGACATGATTGATCACATAAGTTGGGATTAGATATTAATACAATCTAAAATTTAAACTATTAATAAATGAATATCTTAATGCTAGAGTGGGCAATTATTTTTGAAATCCTAAAGGGGGAACCAAATTATTTAGAGAAAAAAGATTACTTATAGGATAATGAATTTAAGTAAAGTTTATAGTAGACCATAAATCAATTTTACAGTGTATATATTAGAGTTACCTAGGAATAAAATACTAAAAGAGTACTAGTATAATATCTAGAAGGAATAAAAGACTATATGCTCATATATAAAAAATTAAATCAAATTAAAATAATTATATTTTCAAATGTTGATTTTATAAATTACTTTTATAATTTATGTTTACATTAATTGAAGAGTAATTTATAAGAATCACATAATATAAATTATATTATTAATAATATAAGCTAATTTGGTCGTATGTTTTAAGGTCACTAAAAAAATTTTATGATTGTAAAATTTTATCTCGAGGTGGTCAAACTCAATTATCAAATCATCAAAAATAATTTGTGACATATTATAATAGTTTTCTTCTATGAAAAAACTAAGTACTCTGGCAATTCTATTAAGATATTATAATTTAAAATATTTGAAGAAATATATTCTTATGATTGAGCTTGTGAGTAACCCATAAAATATATGGTAATACAAGTGGATATTATAATTGACATCTTATTTATATTATTTAGTTTTACTATTCTATTTATATTTATGTATATATATATTATGGTTAAATATGATAATAGAATTATTTGATAAGATAAATTACAATAATTATTTTGGACTATGTTAGGAATGACTAATAGTATTGTGGTATATAGAATGAAGTATGACATTAATAATATACCATCGTTATGACTCGTATTACCAATCGGATTTAATATGGTATTATCATTTTTATTAGACTTATTAATCCATTTTCAAATATATACATGTATAAATAATTTTTAAAATTTTAGAATCCAATTAGATAAAATTAATTTTAAATAAATATTATTTTATTTATTTTAATTTTGAACCCTTATAATCTTACCTTTTTTATCTTACTAATTAATGAATAATGTGGTAGAATACTATATTATGTGATACTATTTAATTATGAAAGATATATTATAGATTTAATTATATTCTAGTTAAGGTTATCAACTAATATAAATGAAATCAATCATAATAGGATTCAGATAACGAAAAATGACTGTCTGTATTATTTTTACCAGATCCTCTACTCGTACATACATAATAGACAGAAACAGCTAAAGATCACATATTAAAAAAATATTTTCTGTCAATAGATTCCTACTCAATCAAGGAGAGTCTAATTTTTGCATCACTTTCTATCTTAATCTATTATACTTGTTCTTCATCTTAATATTAATTTTTTATATAATAATTTTTTTTCTTAAATCAATGTCATCCTTAACCAAATCTAAATGAGGTCTTGCAAGAATTTCTTTATTCCTTTAAAAAACGATATACTCACCCAAAACAGCTATTATTCTGTTGAGAGTAGTCTTAGACATGAGTTACAAGATTTTGGTCCTTGATTTGAGTCGGATAAAATCTGCACTTAGATCATTTGCATCGATGTTAAAGACGTGGTTGATTGCATCAATGGTAGCATTAGTATACAATGGAAATTGAAGTCACTTGGATATAAAACAAGAGCATAAGAATAAGCCAATGCAATAAAAAAGAAAAATCTCCCTCCACTCATCGGCGGACTGCTGTGCTCATTTATTAACATAATTTTTTTAAAAATAATAAATGAATAAAGTGAGATTTTATAATTAAATTAAACAATACCTTCAAAAATATATCAGATCAGATTTTAAAATTTTAAATTCTTAAAATTAATAAATAAATTCGATATATCATCATCATCATCATTGGATTAATGCTTTAGATATCATAGCATAAATATAAATACATAAATCAATAAAAATAAAATGATAAAAAAATATTCATCCTTCTCTCAACACGTCAGGAAGGATGAAAGTTTGGGCCCCGCTGATCTTGCCCTCCAATTTCCCATCCGCCTTCAAACACCGTGCCCAAATCTTCTACGTACGTGCCGTAATGGACGGTGGTGATGAGATTATACCCCTCGCCGCAACGAGGGCCAGCCAAATCAAACATCGTGGAGAAATGCGCGTCGAGGAGCGGCCACGTGTCCGGTGGGCCAACCACCTACAGGCGCATGGAGGACGATGATGGCGCGTCTTCGACCGTCCGATCCTCGATCCCACGGCCTGAATCCGACGCCCGGAGAACCGCCACGGCCGCAAATATTCCAAAACCCCAAACTAGGGCTTCCCAAAATCGGCGTCACGAAAATTAATCGGACCCTTCCCGGACTCGACCTCTCCTTTGTTGCGTCCATCTCGCCGTCTCCTTCCTGCGCCTCTCACACACTTTGAGTGGTATTTGGGAGCTGGACTCATCATCAATGGCGCTCGCGCTGCATCTGTTACCACTCGTACTTTCACAGACAGCAGCAGTTTCGGCGTATGTCTCAGCGGTCCAGCGTCCCATATTCGTCCTCCAGAGCCATCGCTCTCCATTCCCATCTCCTGGTTTCCAGTGAGATTAACCCCAACCCCAACTGGTTATAGCTGTTGTAGCAGCAGCAGTGAACCTATCCGTGAAAGGAGTCCCCTTTTCCTTCCTTTGGATTGCCCCTTTGGCCTAAAGAAGCCGCCTTGGGGACGACTACTGTTTTCTAGGGGAGATGGGCTTGAAAGGATTCGTGGAGGGAGGTATAGCTTCGATTGCTGCCGGGTCCACTACCCACCCCCTCGACCTCGTCAAGGTCCGGATGCAGCTCCAAGGCGAGGCCCTCAGCCCGGCCGTCTCCGCACTCCGCCCCGCTGTCGTCCTCCAAGGCGAAGCGGGCGTGGCCGCCGTCCCCCACCACCACCCGGCCCTGCCCCCGCCGCCGCGCCGACCCGGGCCGTTCGCGGTAGGCGCCCAGATCCTCCGCGCCGAGGGTCCTGTCGGGCTCTTCTCCGGAGTCTCGGCGACCGTCCTCCGCCAGGCCCTCTACTCCACCACCCGAATGGGTTTGTACGACCTGATGAAGAAGCGGTGGTCTGCGCCGGGCGACGGCGGGTCCCTACCGCTCCACCGAAAGGTCGCCGCTGGCCTCATCGCTGGTGGGATCGGCGCCGTGGTCGGCAACCCCGCCGACGTGGCCATGGTCCGGATGCAGGCCGACGGGCGGCTCCCCCAGGCGAAGCGCCGTAACTACAAGAGCGTGCTCGACGCTATCGGGCGGATGGTCCGGCAGGAGGGGGTGGGCAGCCTGTGGCGCGGCTCGTCGCTGACGGTGAACCGGGCGATGATCGTGACGGCGTCGCAGCTGGCGACGTACGACCAGGCGAAGGAAGCCATCCTGCGGCGCCGCGGTGCGGGGGCGGACGGACTGGGGACGCACGTGACGGCCAGCTTGGCGGCGGGGCTGGTTGCGGCTGCGGCGTCGAACCCGGTGGACGTGGTGAAGACGCGGGTGATGAACATGAGGGCGGAGGCGGGGGCGCCACTGCCGTACGTCGGGGCGGTGGACTGCGTCCTGAAGACGGTGCGGGCGGAGGGCCTCATGGCGCTCTACAAGGGATTCGTGCCCACCGTGTGTCGCCAGGGCCCCTTCACCGTCGTTCTCTTCGTCACTCTCGAGCAGGTGCGCAAGCTCCTCGAGTACTTCTGACCGCAGCAGCCCTCCGATCTCGAATCGACGGCGATTGATCCGCGACTTGTTTCGATGGAGGGATGTGATGATGATGGCGATAAAAGCGTTATTTCACCTGCACTGCTTTTAGTATATGGCAGCCCTACACACAATATTGTCACTCTTTCTCGGCTACTTTACCAAGCTGATTAATATAAATCAATTATATAAATTCATAATTAGTATCCATGCTGATTAATAATTATGATGATCTTGATCTTGATATCTCACCATGCATGTCGTCCTTAGGAGTATAATGAAAAGTGTTAGCAGGATATTACACTTGTTAGTGTTTATCAAAATATCATTGCAATTATCAAAAGTATAATTTTATTAATCAACAATATGAACTACAAATTTCATATATAACGAACACAAGATTTACATATTTCTGTTATAGAAGAAATTAAATTCTTCAAGCAATATAATTTTTCCAGAAGATAATTCAAACATACTTTCTTTACTTTAACACTTTCTTAAATAAATCCCAAAGAATTTTTTTTTATACTATAGAAAACCTCAAGAACCCCCGTAGTGTTTTCTTTTGTTCATCCCTTCGAAGCAAAACCTTAAGATACATAGAATATATATGAAATAAGTTAATTTTATTATCTAAGAATTCTTTTTAAATTATATAATAGACTTTTAACTACGTATACATAAAAAATATTTATTTTTTTTATTTTTTTTCAAATTATTTAAAAAATACTTGATTGAAATTTTTATTTTTATCATTTGTTGAACAAAGTTATATGCTAAATCTTTCTAAGACTCAATCAATATATCTTTTATAAAATAATTCTAACAATCCTTGATATCTATCCTTAGGTATCTCAATGTCAATAATATAAGTTATCTTATTCATATTAATCATTTTAAAATTATTGATGAAAAATATTTTAATTTTGTATAACAAACTAAAATCACTACCAGCATACAAAATATAGTCCACATATAAGATCAATATAATAAAATTGCTCCCACTAACCTCTAGATATAAACATTGATCAATAATATTCTTTCTTAAGTCTAAAAAATATAATATTATAATATTTTACATATAATAATTTAAAATTTTATTTAAGATCATAAATAGATTTCCTAAATTTATATACTAAATTTTTTATTTCTTTTCTTTTCTTTGTAAATTGTTTAGGTTAATTCATATAAATCTAAATCCTCATTCAGAAAAATTATTTTTACATCTGTCTATTATAACTCAAAATCATAATGAACTACTAATGTCATAATAAATTTAACGAGTTTATTAGATAAAATTAAAAAAATATATCATTATAATCAATGCTTTCTTTATGAGTGAAAGCTCTAAAGGTTTGACTTTATATCATTTGATATTATCCTTTGAGTCAAACTTTTTTATAATTATTAGGTAATTCGACGAGTTCTTAAATATCATTTTAGTTACTTAATTTTAATTATTCTTTTGTTGTATTATATCATTTTTAAAATTTATTATTTTTCATAACTTGTAAAAATAACGAGGGATGCTTTTTATTCCTATATCATTATTATAGATATACTACATAATAATAAGAAAAAATATTTTTTTTTTCTCTTTGAGATTTTTTCAAAACCAGCAGTTATTATTGTTTTATAAGATCATTAACAATGACATTAATATGGGATGAGAGTTCATTAATGTTATTGTGTTATTCTTAATTATTAATTATTCTTGTGAGTTAAGAAATAATAATCTCTCATATATAAAATGATAAAGGAGTATCAACTTATATTTACTTAATATCAAGATTAAATTTTGAGATTTTCACTCCCTCTAATTCGCTATTTTCAAGAAATCTCACCAAATATAACTATCCTCGTATTATGATTGGGGTAATAAAATCTATACCCCTTCAACTTTTTTTAGATAAATAATAAAAAAATCAAAAATAATCTTTAAATCTATTTTTTTACATGTGAATTGAATATTCTTATATCTGTAGGATAATCCTAAATATATAAATATCTCAAGTTAAGTTTTCTATTAGTCCATAACTCAAAGATAAATTTGACTTACTAGGAACCCTATTCAAGAAATATATAATCAACCTCAAAGCTTTTTTTTTATTGATTCAAACACAAAAGAATGACTCATTATGCTCTTAACCATATTCATAAGAGTATGATTTTATTTTTCAGCAATCTTATTTTGTTGTGGCATATCTACTATAATATATTGAGCACAAATAATTCGTTTTTCTAGAAATCTAATAAAAAGGGTCAGGATTTTGTCTTAACTATTTAATTGTCTCTTGACTAAGAGTATCAATAGCTTCAGATCATATATAGTTATATCTCAACATGTTATCTATAAAGATGATCAAATTTTTTTCTCTTTGCTAAAATAGAAAATATGGAGTGACATATAGATATAAGCACATATAATTTCTAGGAGTTTATGAAATTATATTTATTCTAATATTTAATTATAAAATTATTGTAAACTTAAGATTCACATTAATTCTATATAGACCATCATACATAATTCAAAAACTAATTTTTATTAAATTATGATGAGTTTGAAATAATATCATAATAATTTTAGATGTAAAAACTAAAATTTTGAAATTATAGGAACATAGCATATATCCTTAAGATCTATAAAATAAATTATCTCTAAGTGTAAGTGATAAGTACCAACTATTATCGTTTTCGATTCAAGATGATAACCTATAATGATAAATATTTTATACTCTTTTATTTTTATATTAAAATAAATCTCTATTATTGATGACATAAGTTAAAGTATTAGAATCAATTCACCAAGTATTAAATTTTTTTTTATAATATTTAATTCAATATATACAAAGGTTAGACACTTATACCTGTCCCTTTTAAGCTAAAATATTATACTCCTCTACCTTTTTTATTATAAAAATAGCATTTTAATTTTTTCTCTTATGAGTTTATATAGTATTTATAATCCTAGGTAATTTATGTTTTAATTTTTTTTATTATTACTCACTTCAAAATCAAATTCAGTCAATAGAAAAAAGAAAATCGACTAGGGGCTCAATCAAAATTAAAGTTTAACAAAATCAAAATAGTCAGTAATTTAATTAGGTAAATAACAAGGTGCAGTAGGTCAAAATTGCATATTGACTGAAGTTAAAATTAAATAGTTATCAAAAGAATAGTATTGGAAGAATAAATTAAAGGAGCAGCCCCAAAATAGAGTCAAAATTAAATTAGAGTTTTGGTTAAAATTGGGGCTTTACTGTATTGGGTCAAAATTAATACTGATCAAATTTGGTCGAAATCTAAGTTACTGCCTAAATCGCGCAACCCTATCCCTACGATGACCCCCTCACTGCCGCATGATCGTGCCCTCACTAACAAGCAGCGCTACTGCAGAATGGCCGCTGTAGTGCCTGCGCGAGGCGCTGCCGCCGCCGCGGGGCGCGACCTTCTCCTAACGACAAATCTTCTATCGCATGTTGAACCGCCAATGCCAATTGCTATAATCGCTGGTCGTGCGGCCTCCCTTACCGCCCATGGTTTCCCACCAATCGCTCCTCACCAGTGACCGGTGTCTGTGGCGCACAACCCTCCTCATCAGGACGGCAGCTTCGTTACGGCCAATGTAGCCCGCCAACCGTCTCCGCTGCACGACTTTCATACCATGGCATCCTCTCCATGGTCGGCGATTGCCTAGCAGCGCCTCCACCTGCCTTACCGACGCTGTGAAGCAAAGGCCTTGTCCCGTCGACGCCGGCTACAATAGACCTTTCGCTACCCAATGATGCATCGTTCAGTTGCGGCGCTGACAGCAACCGTCCGGCTGCGCCCAAGCAACGTCGTGACTCAGCGGTAATTCTTCCTGCCACCGCCATCGATGAACCTTTCTTGTCGCAACTTTACGTGAATGCTGTCCATGATAGGATCAACAACCATAGCAAACGGCTTATCTTTGCTGCATCGTTGTTGACAACAAGCTGCCAACCGATTAAAGTCGGACACTAATACCCTTGCAATCTCCAAACACAACGACTCTACCTTGTATAGATTTCACACACGAGTGCGAGGAAATCTTCATCCAATCTCCAAACACAACGACTCTACCTTGTATAGATTTCACACACGAGTGCGAGGAAATCTTCATCCAATCTCCAAACACAACGACTCTACCTTGTATAGATTTCACACAAGTGCGAGGAAATCTTCATCACTTGCAAGCAGGCAAACAAACAGAAGGGAAAGCTTAGGCGTAATCAGTCTACGTTACATAGATTATATGGTGCAAGCACTACATGATCGAAACTAGAAACAATAATCCGATTTAATCAAAATAAATTTAATGCATAAATAGATCAAAAATAAATATACTAGTTTCATTGATGATCTACAATAATTTAGATTTCAATATTTTGATTCTGATATCAATCGTAAGAACTAAAATTATTTGTAAAAACTTAATGTTAAAATTGAAATAAATTATTATAGATTAAGATTAAAAAAAAAGTATGTATCTTTATCCTGGATAGATGGACCGCATTGCTCCCGAGGCAAGTGGGAATCAAAACTCTTTGATCCGAAGAGGACATTAGGCACACTGCAAAGCTAACAGATGAAGGAAAAAAAGAGTTCTCAAGAGTGAGATCTTTGAACTTGGATTCGAATTAATTGAAGAAAGGCCTTTCTTTCTTTTTATTTTAATCAGAAAAAAATTCTTTCAGCATGCAACTGGTTTCATACGCTGTGGCTCAGACTTATGATAGAGAAGAGTACCGCTAAAATGCAGTGACAATCTTAAGCTTCTTCCCTCATAGTAAGGCTAAAAGATAAGCCGATGGTCGAGTCATGATGTGCTTGCTGATGATGACCAAGATATGGTTTTATTCAATCTATATAATTTTATTACGTTATTATTATAACAATAACATATAACTATCAATATCAAACATATTCTTATAATTTATTCACATAAGAACGAAACGTAAATGAAAAAAAAATTTCAATACTGTAACAAGCTTTTGCATGGATCAAATATGATACGAATTTTTTAACCCAGGCCAACGACAATAAAATACCACAAGAGGGATTTCAACTCATCAAAAACACAGTAAGAGCACAAACCAATTAGCAAAAACCAGGATCCAACTCTCATTCCAAACAAAGCATTCTAGAGTTGTAGTAGTTGTACGCAATAAGAGATGCTGTCACGGAATTCTAGATTCGGAAGCTCAACAAAACCAGTCACGAAGAGAAATTTGGAAATACTAATCACATCCAACTGAATCAAATAAACCTACCTACACACCACGCTTATCGTGGATCTGGTGACAACTGGAACAATGCAAGCATTGGCATCCAAATTTCTCATTTATTGCTAGGTCCTAATATTTTCTCTTTGAGTTCATCAAGCTTGGTAAATAATTCGTCCCTGTTTTCCTGCAAGACAAACTCAAACTGGGTGATTACACCATAGCATGAACCGTAGGAAAGAAAAAAGATGATTAAGAAAGCTAATCACCTTAAATATCAGATACCGAGTGCTGAACCAGATTGTGAAGCCAAGGCCGACAACTTCCATCACTTTTGGAAACTGCTACATGGAATTTTGTGGATTAATGTAACTGGTGGACTTAATATCATCGCAAGAAGTTGTTTCAGCTAATTAAATGGGAATGCATACCACAGGTAGGGAATCAATGGAGGAAACAAAGGCTGCAGAAATCCACAATGCAGCCAGAGCACCAGCTACATAAAAGAGGATGCCATATGCCTCTTCAGAGTCTATCTGCCTCGGCAATAATAGTTTAAGGTAAGCAATAAACAATCTAATAGAAAGTATTAGGATAGACAAAGGAACACTATCTCGAGCAATCATACAAAAATGAACAGAAGTAATTGCACAAATTCATTCTAATCGGCCTTATTGTGAATATCTTTTTCTTATAAAATATTAACTTTTAACCATAAGTTGCATGTATATATTATTCATATAAAAAAATTGTTTAATGAACATATATAAAATAATTTAGAACAGTTTCTCATTTGTCAGATAGATTGAGAAGTGCTATGTAATTACAAATATTTTTAAGACTTATATGTAAAAAGAAACTTTTATACAAAAAGGCAAAAGCATTAGGCTACAAGAATGTTTTTATGATGACAAAAATAGTAAAAGTAGCAGATATGAGAGACTTCACTGTTCTATAATAGACAGGTTTGATAAATTAATCAAAGAAGTTGACTGTAAAATTATGTGATCATACTAGCAATGCCCATCATCAAATATACAATGATGACTAAGATTTGCTATTTTATATGAAGTGGTTCAACGAATTATTTAAACGACCTAAAGAATTCACACGGAACATGTAAAAAATTGATATATCTAGCTGCAATGTTAAAGCTTTTCTATTACGAAACTATTTAAAATCCACTGCCAAAGATTTTCTATTAACAAAATGTGTTACCTTTCATATATTTGAACTAACTCTAGCATCCATAACCAGCTTCTTTTTTGCATAGTGGAGAAAGCTCCAGTTGGATCATAACATCTATCTTTTTATTTTTTGAGCAAAAAGAAACCATCTATTTACTATGAAGCAGTTACAGTGACACCAGCAGAAGAATCGACTGGACTCCAAGACCAAAACATTGAGCTCTTGACAAATGAGCGAGAGACGAGCTTTAACATTAAGCTCTCCGTGAAGGTGTTCAAATTCTACAACATTTAGTCGAGTCCTAATATCTAGAACTAGAGAGTTAAAAATCACAGAATCTCAGCAGAACCCATGACAAAATGAATAACCATTTGTGCATCCATATGAACCAAAACATTCATTTTGGAGTTAGCTTGAAAATGAGGCAAGCAGATCATAACATATTTCTTGCTCAATCAATGCAACACAACTTAAGAGTAGTTGTGCCAATGCCTCCAACATATGATGGTTATTCTATTAAGTAAAGCTTAAAAGTTCAATTTATATTGCATCTGAGACATTTTTGGATCCTCAGCAGAGACTAATACAGACCAAACAGTTAACTATCAATTTTGCTTTCTACTATTATTGAGACATTAAGGGCCTGAAAAGTTAGGTTAACTTGGAGATTCAAACTTGCTAACGGGGAAACATCTAGTAATTTATCTCTTGTAATACTTTCATGAGTTCATAGATTTCGACAGCAACAATTGAGTCAATGATGAACCACCAGAGTGTGTTAATATCACTAAGCAAGCAGAGCTGTTTAATTACTACATCAATGTATAATACAAAATTTCAGTAGAAACAGGAAACTCACTCGCGTTTTATCACAACCAAAAGAAGCAGAATAGACAAGTATGACCAATAAGGTAAAACAAACAAGAGTAAACAACATGATAAAGATATAAATTTTCTCTACAAAATGGGTGAAGGAAACAAAATAAACTACACAAAAATGGCAGAAATAAGCCTTTTCAAACTTAAATCACTAACTAAGGAGATCAAATGTAGATCAAGTATTCACGACATGCAATAACAAACAAATAAAATACCAGTATAATAATCTTAAATGACAGCTAGTTTTTTAAAGCATGGTTTTAACACACGAGTCTCTTCCTTTCCAAGCAAACCAGCTGTTTTCATTACTTGAACTTGGTCACAAGGTTCAAGTAATTTACTTGAACTGTGGGTGAGTATGCGTGTGTGTGTGTGTGTGTGTGTGTGCGTGTGCGTGCGCACGTGCATTTAAAATTTAATATGATTTTTTGGCCCTTGATCATAATGATGAAGAGAACAAATCATGTGAAGCCTCAAATTCTAATAAAATCCCGAGTAATTCTACTTGATCAATCTAGCCTGTCTAGAACCAATCCAATGAGAATTTGAAGTACACATTATGTTGGATTGACGTTTCATTGTCTGGGTGGTGTTAGGACTCACCCTTAACCTGACCCAGCGGACTATCCTAGCCCCCTTATACCATGCAGTGAAGGGTTGTTACCTCCTAGCACTTCAAGTTTGGCTTATCTCTAGACCAATTATATATACATGGCAAATTACACAAATCCTCTTCATCTTTACTTACCTAGAAAACAAATATATCAGGTATGGCATCCATACTGTATAAAGATACATAAATACCTTCTAAAATTCATATTTCACATTGATGCTCCTCAACATGTCATTTTAGTATAAACAATCAACAGGCTATAATGTCCAACTCTTTGGGGGACAGTTACATGGACCATTTCGTGCCTCATTTTATTACAAACACATTTAAAAAGAATAGTTATAACCAAGGTCCGTCATACTGTACCGTACCGGAGTTTCGACCCGGGCTCGGTACGGTACGGTACGGGTGTACCGACCAGTATACCGAGGTGTACCGAGCGATACACCCAATTTTACCGATTTATCCCTCCAAAATACTTGAAAATTAGAAAAAAAAGTTAGGATAGGGTTTTCAAGTTACAAATAAATATAGTAATAGTATAAGTTTAGCAAAATCAATGTAAATTAGGTAAAAATAGTATCACATATCTTTTTCAGGCTTTGAGATAGTCTTATTCGAGGTTCGTATTTCAGCCCGTTATAGATTGAAATATCTACAGAAAAATCAGTTGAATTGTTAGACTATTTTGTTACAATATAAACTCTAAAATTCAAATGAAATAAATTATCACATATCTAGATATACCTGATTGTTGTTCTACCACCAAAACGAACGACGGGCTTCCACGGGTGGTGGATCGGGGTCCTCGATCCGATACATATCAATATGATACGTTTGTTAGACCCAATCATGAAATTGATCCCATGACATAGTGTATTGATACACCGTGTGTCATTAATGCATCAATGTGGTGTTGATCGTAGACTGATCGTCATGAATCATATTTTTCTGAGGCAGCTCTTGAGGCATATATTGGTGCTGTTCTGTATCATGCTGTTGCTCTAAGAAGGATGACCAACTATCACCATATTGTTGTTGCCCGTATGATTCTCCATAATACGATGAGCCTCTTTCTGTGTCTATATCATGTATGCTTTGTCGTATTTGTTTATATTCATCCATTGCCTTCCCCTTAATCTTGATTAGAAAGTTCTTCCTCTTAATCTTCCCAAATTAACCTCGATTGAATTCATAAATCGTTGTTTTATAGAGTTTAGGAGAGAAAAAGAAAGTTTGAGAGAGAGTTTAAGAGAGTATAATGAAATAGGGGAGAGAAGAATGGTTTAAATAGGGGGAGAAAAAGCTCCAACGGTCAAATTGACCGTTGGAACACTGTAGAACTGCTACAGTGCGGTAACGGTCGATTTCGACCGTTACCGAGTGGCACCGGACGGTAACGGTCGAAATCGACCGTTACCGAGTGGCACCGGGAGGTAACGGTCGAAATTTCGACCGTTACTGCCCGATTTTGCCCGTATCGCCCGATACGAGGGTTTTTGGGGGCGTACCGCCCGGTAGTGGGCGGTCCGCGTATCGAAAACCTATCGGACCGGTACATACCGCCTGGTACGGGCGGTACGCTTCGGTATGGCAGACCATGGTTATAACCAATGGAAGGTAATGTTTTATGGAAGCCAAAAGTTGAGCATATTTGAAAGGCCATTACTGGGAAAAAAAAAAATGTTTTAGTCAAATCAGGAGGAAACAGAGCATTTGGTATTAACTGCAAGTTATCTTGCAAGAAATCTGGGAAATGTTGAGCATCTGAAGATAATAAGAGAGATGCTGAAACAAATTTTAGTAAATGATGATGGATAGAGAGACGATTTGCAGCTTGAGGTCATTGACAGCCAAATTTGGAAAGCGACTGTGCAAGTGCAATGTTCACATCTGAGAGTCTTGTTCGGAGGATAATAAACATTCCTGTTATCTTAGAGGTCAACTCTTTTATGTCTCATAAATTCAGTGGGAGCAAAAGATATTTAACCAATAGTAAGAGATAACAAGAGGGCAACATGGTTCAAAAAAGTGCAGATTATACAACTTGAAGAGAAACACAACAAGAAGAAGCTGCAACTATCGTGTCAGTGAAAAAAAGGGCCAAAGCCCCAAGAACTGTACTGCCACATAGGTTCCAACGAAATGACCAAATTTTAGGTTCTTTAAAGCCATGGCTACAACAGATTAGTAGAGGCTTTAGAATTTTGTAACTCTACCAAAATTCAACAAAGAAAAGCCCTCATGCTTTAGTAACAGCTTCCGTACTTCCTTTATACCAGAATTAAACAAGAACTATAATTAACGTATACCTAAAGCTAACTTCCGCCAAAGCCATGGTGGATCAAATTCCTGTTACCGAACATGGAACAAAAAATGAAAAAGGGCAGGATCATAAGCACCTTAAGATTAAGCTTAGACAAAAGATTATTCGCTGCCTCAGCAATCTGCTCTCCGCCATCGGGGTTGTCTCCCTCCCCGTACGACGACCTCATGAGAAAGGAAGGCCCATCGACCCGTTTCGACCCAGCATCATCGTGTACAACAACCATGGAGGCATCCTCGTCCGAGGCCCTGGCCCGCGGCGGTCGATCACGGGGACGACCCCATCCTGCATCAGAAACCAAGGAAAGGGATTTGGCGGAGTGCGAAGCGAATAGTGATCGGTTAGTGATGGGGCAAGAGGAGAGGTGGGGGAGGAGAAGAGGGGAGGCAGGGATGGACGGGGGACGGCGGAGGCCAGCGAGTAAAGGGTGGCCGCGAGGAGGCGGCGCAGAGAGCTCCATCATGGGAAATTTTGGTTCTTGGTCGGTGGGAGAGTCATGAAAGGGAAATGATTGATGCTGGTGTTGTAGGGGAGCGCGGTGCTTCTTCGTGCGTTAGCGACCGGACACTTGGCACGTCCATCATCGTTGTTAATATAATTCTGCATTAAATATAAAAAATATAATTCTTTTAGAACAAAACAACAAAGTTATCAGATCCCGACCGACGAGCGATCTAACCAAGTTTCGAATCCGTGATTTACCGGTCGAATCAGATGGTACGGTTGGCATAAAAAAAATTTAATTGAGCGATTTTTCCAAAAAATATTGATATTTTAGATTTTTTTTTAAAATATCCTTTTTTTTTGTCAAATAGTACTCTCGATTTGAAAAAATGATCGATTTATCTAAAAAATACTTTTTATTTTTTTTTTCACTCCATACCTTTTTTTTTTCAAAAATAATTTTAATTTAAAAATATTTAAATTATCTCTCAAAAAAAATTTATCTTTTATAATATTTTGATCTGTTATGATAAAATTATCATATCCCGACCGACGAGCGATCTAACCAAGTTTCGAATCCGTGATTTATCGATCACATCAGATGGGACGATGGGATGGTGAGCTTGGCATAAAAATTTTTATTGAATGATTTTACCAAAAAATATATTAATATTTTTTTAAAAATATCTTATTTTTGGTCAAATAGTACTCTCGATTTGAAAATGATCGATTTATCTAAAAAATTCTTATATTTTTATTTTTTTTTCACTTGATACCTCATTTTATTTTTTTCAAACAATACTTTTAATTTTAAAAAATTAAATTATCTCTCAAAAAAATTTATCTTTTATAATATTTTGATCAGTTATGATATTTTAATCTATTATAGTATTTTTGACTTATTAACTATCGCAACAAAAACACTATAAAGTCTATAACTGATTTAAATAGATTTTTAATCTCAATTGAACTAATTATAAGCCTAAAAATATGATATTGTAATGGCCTATAAACAATGACAAGCATAATATGATATCATTTATAATATTTGTTAATATTTATAATAGTTTTAGTATAGTAATAAAACACTGTAAATGAGCCAAACGAAAATACTGTAATAGTTGACCTAGTAAAAAAATGAGTGAAAAATTTTGATCAAAAAACTTTTGAGGAGTATTATTTTTTAAATTAAGGGTATTAGTTTGAAAAAATAAAAGAGATGTACCTTTTGAGAAATAGCCTAAATATGGGTATTTTGTAGGGAAATCACCCTTTGATGAATATGTAAGATTACCCTTTAAAAAAATTGCATCAAATTTTTTTATCAATTTTAAATTATTATAGTGTTTTCATTTGGTTTATTTAATAAAACACTTGGTTTATTTATAGTGTTTTTCAATAATATTTTATTGAGTTACTAAAAATACTATAAAAGTTAAAAAAACACTACTAAGTGATATCATATTATGCCTCTTTAGACTATTATGATGTTATATTTTTAGGCTTTAGTTGATTTGGTTAAGGTTAAAAGTTCATTTAGATCATTTGTATTTATGATAGTCATAACATTAAAAAAAGTTATTTTTTATTCAATTTGGCTCATTTATGATATTTCAAATAGGCTTTACAGTATTTTTGTTATGATATTCAAAAAATATAATAGATTAAAAATACAATAACAAACAAATTTTTTTTTTAAATTAGAGATATTATTTGAGAAAAAAATAAAATGAGAGATACCGATTGGAAATATCTAAATTATGAGCATTTTCTAGAAAAAATCACCCAAAATATTTTTCTAAAAAATAAATTATACTTATATATTTATAAAAAAATAATTTTGTTTTATGGCTAGTCTTCCGGTTCTCAGAATTTATCGAGTATAAATAAGATCATATGAAATCATATCCCAACAAGATCACTTAAAACTCTTTTAAATTTGTTTAGGGATGATTATCAATGGTTTTGACATTTTAAGAGTTTACATGGACAGGACACTAATTCTTTTCGCTCTGTTGAGCTAAAACATTATTCTTACACCCATTTTTTTTGTTTTTCCTATTTAAGAATACTCTTCAATATCTTTATATAGTGTTTTGGAAGGTTCTTGGGTAAATAAAATAATTTTGAATGCAATTATACTTATTTTTTACATTATAAATGAGGTCTTATGAATCCATGTTCTCCAAAAAAAAAAAAAAAA